TGGTCATTATTACTTATTTTTATTAATTTTGATATTTAAATATTAAAAAAAAAAGTCTTTAGGTTTTCATAAAAAAAAAAAATTTTTCTCACCTCAAGAGTAATCAAGATAAACTCACTATTTACTTGAAAAAGTTTTTTCGTCGAATTTATTAAATATCTTATGACAAAGAAACCAATTTATCTTTTTATTTATTTACAAAATAATTTCATACGAAAATACTATAAAAAATCATAGACAAAATCATTAAAACATCATAAAAATAATATCATAAAATATCAAAAAATATCATGCAAAAAAATCACAACGAATATCATGCAATAGTATCATAAAAAAAAATTCATGCAATAAATAATAAAAAATTCATGCAAAAATATCATAATAAAATCATGCAAAAATTATCATAATAAATATCATGCAAAAAGATAAAAATTCAATCAAAGTTTCTTTTTTTTTTCTTTTCTTATTTTTCCTTATTTTTTCAATTAAATCAAAATTAAAATTAAAAGAAGGAATATTAAAAAACAAAAATTAAAACACAGTAATTAAAAAAAATTAAAAATAAACTTAAACATTAGAAATTATAAAAAAACAAAAAATTGAAAACGGAAATTTAAAAAACAATTAGAAAATAGAAATTTAAAAAATGGAAATTAAATATAGAAATAAAAAAACAGATATTAAAAAAATGGAAATTAAAAAAACAGAAACTAAAAAACAAGAATTAAAAAACAGTAATTAAAAATAGAAATCAACAAATTAAAATTATAAAAGGAAATTAAAAAAACAAAATAAAAAAACTGAAATTAAAAAACAAGAAATTAAAAAGAGAAATTAAAAAAATACAGGAATTAAAAACCCAGAAATTAAAAAATATTGAAACAAGAACATAAACAATAAAAACAAAAAAATGAAAATGAAAAAGGAAACGAAAAACCTGAAGATCAGATTGTCTCCAAAATCGTTAACTTTGTGTTTGATCTTTAATTGCTATTGCTGTCTCTAGTTACTATTTAATTTTCTTTGTGAATTATTCTCTAATTGTTACATGAATTGTTGATGATCTTTGAGCATAAAGTTGAGTTCTTCATATTGAGATTGAATCCCAATTTATTATGAAAAATCTTTAATATCAATTGAATCTATATATCAAGATTCAATGTTTAACACTTTTGAGTTTTTTTTTTTTTTTTACAAATTTGATTCCCAAAAATTATCAAATAAATTCATCAATTAATTTCAAATACAAGTACAATCTAAAAAAAATTAATTTGTAAAAATTTTCCACATTTTTTTCTTTTTGCTTTTTTCCTTCTTTTACTTTTGACTTTTTGATCAAATAAAATAAAAATAAAAATAAAGAGAATGAAATATAAAATAAAATGAATAACTAAAAAAAACTCTCTGAACCTTTAAATTTGGATTTAAAAATGATTTTTAAAATTTAATAGTAAAATGTAATTCGATATTCAATAATATAAAAATATTTCAAATAAAATAGGGTATTTACGAAAATACACATCCATAGATATTACATATTATACGTTTATATCGCATACAAAGAACATTACCCGAGCTTTTGGTTCAGCAATTCGAAACGCCTCTTCTTCAAATAAAAAGGACAAAAGAGATATAGGGGCTTTCGACCAAAAAATCATAAAAGATTTGGAAGTTTCAATCCAGTACCGGACTAGGGTATAGATAATCTTGCAGCCAAACACAATGGCATGTTTGATAATGGGTCCAAAACCGAAACAGAAAACACCCATAAAGTGCACAAAGTGTGGGGGAAAAAGTTGGTTTCAAACGTGACCCTAATCTTAAAATTCGTGGTAGCTTTGTAACAAACATAACTCATGGCAGCCAAGCGGCACGACTAAAATCTATAAAGTAGCTTGCATGAAAACGAAATTTACAAAAGCTTAGCTTCAACATCAGGCACGCACACACAGCCACTTGAAGAGATGAGGTTTATGATGATATATATCTCTTTGGCACATTGATGGTTTCACTACAACCATATAACATGAAAATAGGGGAAGACATGATAAAGATAACACGTTGACGAGCAAAGAATAATGCTAATCATTATATTGGAATGTTTAGTGTATATATCCTTAATAAAAGGTTGAGAATTTGGGTGCCAAATTTCATTTCTCAAATTAAAAAAAAAAAAAAAAGAACAGTGGAAGTCATTGTGCACGTGTAGCCAGAAAAGAGAACCAGGAGTATTCACAGTGAGTTCGTCCCATAACCTTTCAATGTTTGTTAAAACAAAAACATGCCCACCACCATTTCTATCTCAGTTTCTTCTTGGGATCATTTCCCATTTATCTATTTTTCTTGTAGGCAAAAGCAGGGGCACCCGACTATATGACTCTCATCACTGCAATCACCTAAACCTCGCATTTTCCCATGTGAGTCTCTCTCTCTATTTTGCTTGAATTGAGCGAATGCTTTTTTCATTGTTTTCTTCAGATAAATTAATAAAAGAATGTCGATGATATCATACCTCTGTCTTCTTTCTTATCTTGCTGCCAAATTTTGGGTCATCCACTAATTATTGAGTGAATTTAATAATGTAAGAGTATATTGCAATAATTTTATTGTCTTCCAAATAACTAACTCAGGGAAACTTCGAAGAAAAGTCATTAATACACGAAATATTTAGGTATCAAGAGGGGTTGAAGTTCATGATTCTATGTCTTGTGGGTTGTTAAAGTACAAAGGAGAACATGAACTTAGTAGCTGATTATTTCATAATAACAATAATTAAATAATATATAGTAGTATGTTTTTACAAAGGAATTAATGTTCCTAGAGCACTTGGGAATCTTTATGATTAGACGATCTTGCTGAGAAGAGTATGTAGTCTTCTTGGTATGTGTTGTGTCTGTGATTAATAGACAAAGCTCAGCGCAATCATAGCCGACCTGCAGGATTATGATCCCACAATCATGGTCTAATAAATACTATGTTATAATAAATTTATTCTAGGCATTGCTTTTTGGGAACTTATTTTTAAAAGCTTATTACCTGTTTGAAAGAACATACTGGATTTGTTTTGTCTGCTTTTCTACAGTTTTAATTCCCATACCCCATGTGCTTGTCTCAGTTTCAGTTATGTCAAAAATTAAGAGATTAGACTGATGAGAGAAAGAGACAGAGAGAGATGGATTCATAATTCAAATAAGATGTGATGTAAGGTACAAGAGCTTGTACTCAAAAACTTTGAAATGTTGGCATACATGCAGAATAACTGTGGGGCTACCAAACAAAGGTATTGTGGACAGTTACAAACCATCAATCTGCTCCATTCATTCCGCAAAAACTTTTTCCGTTGCCTTTCTGGCTTGGACTCTAAACGATAGATGCCGAGGCTATGATCATGAAAATGAACAACAAAACTAACTTGATGAAGTTGTTTTATGTCGACTTCACGTTTTTATTGGATTATTTTTAATAAAAAATTTCATAAATTTTATTTTAAAAAATTTATTTAAGTTTTGTTCAAAGGAATAGAAAAGAGTTAGATGAAATTTTTTAAGTAAAATTGATTACAATATTTTTTTATTAAAAATAACTAAATAAAAATTTAAATAAAAAATTAAAAGATTTTGTTATCTAATTAAGTATGCAAAATTTAAAAATTTTGAAAATTTTTTATATATTTTTATATACTTATTTTTACTAAAGTTTTGAAAAAATATTTATGAGTGAATAAATATAGTCAATTTTTAATAATTATTTTTATATATTATCAATATTCTCATTAAATTCTATTAATTTATTGATTTAAATTTTTATCAACATTTTTTATTTTTAATAAAAGAATTTAACAAAATTTTATTTAAAAACTTCCTCTCAATCTTGTTCCTGATAAGAAGAATTTCTTTTGATGTCTTTTCATAATTAGTAACATTTGCCTAGAGACGGATACATCACACTCCCAAAGAGATTAACTGTTTTTCTTTCTTCTTCTTTTTTTTTTTTTTGCATCAATGTGAATTTCCATCGTTGGTGTCTCACATAATTAATAATTTCTTCCTATATATGAATAAACAAAAGATAGGGATTTCACCAAATTAAGTGGGGGAGTTTTTTCCTTTTTTTTTTTTTTTTCTCTCCCACTTTCTTAGGCTCAAAAGTGCTGTTACTTGTCTCTTTCTCGTCATTGATGTCATGAAATTTGTTCACATATATCTGAACTTTGAATTTGGACAATTGAGAAAGAAGAGATCGAATTAAAGAATGAGGTAAGGGATGAACTGATCTCATCGCCTAGAAGTTGACTGGATTTTAATGTCCCCTCGGCTGGTCAGACATCTGACCATTAAGACATGTTCTATAGGAACATTAATTGATCAAAGAGTTGTACCAATTAGCACCAATGGGTTCACTGTAGTGAGACTATGTCTAATATTGTATTGTTGTTCAGTGCACCATAGGATAATCTAGCGGCAAATGTCAAAACTTTGTCTGTTTTCATGTTGCATGTTTAGTCTAGTCATGGCAGTTTATCTTGCTTATAATTTAATACCTATATTGGCAAGTTGATTAGTGCATCATCTGAACCGGATTACCAATTAAAGGAGAGAGAGAGAGAGAGAGAGAGAGATCGAAACGAGTGAGATTGGAAAAATGATTAGATCGCCAAATTTTACAGATTCACGAGTTTGTCAATATAAGTGAAATTTTAAAAATGGATGATTATAATTAAAAATTAACTGCTTTGAATTCTTTTTTTATTCTAATTTTTATTTGTTTGTGAATATACAGGGGAAATGCTCTGAAAATTTTTTCCGTGGACCACAAAGGATTAGAATGCTGCCACTAATGGAGGAGACAACCCTACGATTCCCCACTGATATTTGCACATAACTATTTTTCTCTCTCTCTCTGTCCGTAGGCCTTCTTTTTTTTTTTACTCTTATTACTATTTGTAGTTGCAGGAACAGTGAACCTTTGCACCTCATATAATGTTAGGCATACTCTTTCAAACTGCTTTACATCTATCCCCTACCTTCACTTTTACCTTCCATAGACTACTTTGATTTGCCTATAACCTTCTCCTTTCTCTAGCTTCTCTTTGAGCTATTAGCCTTCTCGATCTCCCTCCTCCTACCATTGAATCATCATTTTCATTCTTTTTCGATCGCATTAAGCTCATCTCCTTGCCTTTATTATAGCTTGAGAACTTCCAGTTTTCTCTCTCATATAATGGATTATCAGCCTAATACTTCTCTTCGTCTAAGCCAACCCAACAATCAACTTAACCTAGAGCTTGCCCTTGAATCATCTTCTTCCTCATCGCCTCACAGTCCGGCTGAACCTCGAATTTTCTCCTGTAACTATTGCAGAAGAAAGTTCTATAGTTCACAAGCACTTGGAGGCCACCAAAACGCCCACAAACTAGAACGAACTCTTGCCAAGAAAAGCAGAGAGCTAAGCTCAGCTGTCCGCACACATGGGGGATCGTATTCCCACTCAGGATCCAGTATCAGTGGTTCGAGCCCTGCTCAACGTATGCAGTCACCAATCGCCCCGTTTGAACAACAAGGTCGAGCTGGTAGGTTTGCTGGAGAAATGAGCTATGCAAGGAGAGACATGAACTATGGTTCTAGAGAAGGGATTGGTTCTTGGTCCAAGGGATACAGGCCTGAAAATGTTCAGGAGGAGTTTAGTCAGCTTGACTTATCTTTAAGGCTGTGAAATTGCACTCCGATTTTAAATTGTATTATTTTCATTTTATATTTTGTGATACGATTTATATGTTTGAAATGACAAAATATTCAGGCTGATTTAATTTTGCCTTTGAGATATTTATATATGAACCTTGCTTGTTTTTTGTGAATGACATTTCATTATGGTAGACAAAGTTGGAGCAGTGAAGAACAGTAAACTGATTTGTTCAGGAGTAAGGGAGCCATTTCAAGATGGAGACGCAGATAAATGCCTTGAAACGCGTAAAAGAAGCTTAGTGTTCATTCCATGGGGACAACATATACGATCTTCATTTACCTATTGTAATGTCAACATTGATGGGTTTTCAAAGGTGATGCATCTCACGTTAAGGTAAAAAAGTTTGATAATTGGCGAATAGATTAATTTTTATATTAATTTTATTTATATTTCAAATAATTATATTTGAATAAAAATAATTAATATATGATAAATGGTTATAATTATTTGAATATAAATAAATAATTATTCATAAAATCATAATTATACAAATGATCATAGTCATTTGAATAAAAATTTATATTTGTTTATTCATTATAAATAAAATTTTTCATATAATTATTTTTCTTATTTCTACTTGGAGAGTTTTGCGATTTTGTTATATTATAAAAGCATAATTGCTTTTAAAAATATGTTTTTCAC